TCATACTTTATATGTCTTCTTTCAATTTTTATTTCATCTACAAAGATTAATGCCAGTATTGACACCAGAAAGTTGCTGCTCTTGTTGATCAATTGCCTCTCGGGTTGCATGAGAAGTATCTTTTTTGTTTGAGGTAATATATTACCTTCAAACTGTAGGAAGTTGCTTAGAATAATAAGTCTGTCCAGTCCAGTAAGCTTTTCTACCAGCTTGGTTGACCAAACAATTCAGGTAGCAAATGCCATGAACAACTTGATCGCATTCTTATTGTTTACTATTTGTGATATGCAGTCCAGTTGACATGGATGATGAGATTTCAGCACGGGGTCTAACACATGTAAATTCTTATACCAAATTCTTTATCTAAAATTGCGATGTAATTCAAACTTACTTTGAAAGAAGAAATGAGTTGGTCTATCTATCTCCATCGATCAGTTTGCAGAAAATTATGCTAAGAAAGGCATTGTTCGGCTTCGAGAAATATTTACACCAGGCACACGTCAAGTGCCAAAGACACACAATAAAATGAAGGAGCTTGAATCCATTCACCAGGTAATTTTTTTTTTCCCAGTATTAGCTGAACATGGACCATTTCCATTGTAGAAAAAGCAATGTAAATCCGTTTTCAACTCTTAAACTAAATGCATTTGCTGCTAACCCCCTCTTTTCTTTGGGAAAACTGAAGGTGCTGGATCTCTATATTTGCTTGGGTTTTCGATTTGAAGATTCTTTCCCTGACCACGAGCTGGCATCTTCGCAAAAGGCAGCGTGCAGCATGTGAGTGCTTTTTTGTGTTGTTTTCCACTGATCTTCCTTCATGTTGATAATTGATATCTTATGAAGGTGAAAATGACTTCGATAGGTTAATCGAAGATTTCCTAGAAAGACTAGGTTGCTGGCCGAAGCCAAATGCAAGAAAGTTATCTAAACGCTCTAGCTTAAACTCTCTTTTCTCCAATGACACCTACAAGAGAAGGGCACTGGGAAGACGTGGGAGAGAACTGTGAAATTCTTATGTATTCAGTTTTAGAATTCTTGGGAACAATTTTGTTTTCCAAAAAAAAAAAAGTGGAACAACCTTCCTTTAATATGTATTGAATTCTACATGAAAAGCAGAAGATAATTCAACATTTTGTTTGCCTCTAGAACCACGGTCTGTAAGGGAGAGAGTTAAAAGAGTGGAGAAGAAAACATCAAAATGGAAAGATTTTAATCCATTACAAAGGCTCTGCTCTAGGGTTTGTGTGAAAAAGACTTTAGTTTTACCAACTCAAGAAATTCATTGTCAATCTTAACACAAGCATTTATATTTATACACCAAGGACCCGTCGCTTCCTTTGCTCTTCTGCGTGGACCATCAAATTTTCAATCCATTGCTTTGTTTCAACCATGTTCTTTTCACCAAGTTCCTTGACCGGCACTTTGTATGTTGACTGATAGGGGACCATTCCCTTAAGCACCGTTTCCTTAAAGTATGAGCAAGCCAGCTCTAATTTCCCACTCTTACAAAACCCACTCACTAGAAGGGCATATATTCCAAGATCAATACTTACGTCGTTCTTAAACATGTGGTTTAACAGAAAGTTCAGCACCTTCATCCTATTCTTCCTGAAGCACAAATGAAGCAATGGCGAGTAAGTAAGATGATCTGGCTTGCATGAATCCTCTTCCATTTTCTGAAGCCATTTCAATGCCTCCTCTTCTCTCGAATGTGCACAAGCAGAAGAAATCATGGCATTATATGCCCATACATTTGGCTTTATATTTTGCCTTTCCGTGTCCTCAAATATTTTACGTCCATCATGAAGTCTATCTCCCTTGCTCAGGATGGAAATCAATAAACCATAAAATGAATTGTCCGGTAAACAACCATCATTCTTAATCTTCTCATAAACCTCCAATGCTTGAGTAATGTCACCTGCCTCACATCAACCTTTCATAATGACGGTGTAAGTCACTATATTTGGCTTGCAACCCTTCTCTTGCATTTCATCCAATACAGGATCAACTTTGCTAAGATCCTTTTCACGACAGTAAGCCTCAATAAAGCTCGTATAAGAAGCAACATTGGGCTGATACCCATGTTTCTCCATCTCATCCATAATCTTCCTAGCATCTTCTAGCTTCTTTGCTTTGCAAAAACCATTTAACAAGATATCAAAACAAATTGAAGTCAGAAGTATAAGTTCCTTGAAGTCAATAAACACTTGATAAGCATGATCAACTCTGTCCAAGGCATTCCCCTTAACCAAAGCAGCCATTAACACAGCAATCACCTCTCCATCTTGGCGAACACCAAAATTTTCTATCAGTCGGAAAGCTGCAATAGCATCACTGTACCCCGTAGCTTTAACTAACCTCCTCATAACCTTACTCATTGTAGCCAATGTAACATACCCCTTAAACTGCTGCATTTCCTTAACTAAATCCCACATCAAATCAAACTTCTTTGCCTTTCCTAATATATCAACTATGGTGTTAAACACCTCAGGGGGATGCTCATAACCTGTTTGTGATTTTGCCAAGGTGAAAACCCCAAAGGCTGGAATCCAGTAATTATCAAATCTTTTCAAAACCTTCTCTATTAAGGTGTTTGACACACTTACCTCGCACCCTTTTAATTAGCGCTTCAACAACTTTATCAAAGGATGAGTACTCTTTCTTGAGGTTTCACAAACTTAATCCACATCAGAATCACGTTCGCCATTTGGGAAGTGCATAACCTTGCTGGTCTGGCTCTCAATCCAACTAGCAAGTGAAGGGATGACGAAATCTTCATCTGGGTCGGTACTCTCCGGCTTCTGGCTATTGACCCAAGTCCAAAAGAGGGATGAGTCGGCGGTAGAGGGTGAGTTAGCCGAAGGCGATGATTCTGGAATGGTCCATAGAGGGTTGGAGGAAATGTAACGCCTTGCATTGTTGCTCGCTGATCAATGGGGTCGGAAAGTGGAAATGAGCTTCAAGATTTGGTGATTTCGCATCATTTTTTTTTTTTTTTGGAATTCAGCGAAATCTTTTCATTATAGCACCGCCATACGGCATCTACAGATAAGAGTAAACAACAAACATATAAAGTACAGTTGGAGAGAAAATTCAGAGTAGATCCAATTCAACAGTGATAATGAAGAGTGGTGAACAGAACATACGAATAACCTCGAACGAATAAGTTTGTACAGATTCCTTTGGTCGAATGATCCCGATAACTGGACACCCTTCAATCTACACTTGTAGAAGTTGCGCTTGGTTTCCACGACGCCAGGCGGTAGATACAGACAGACGGTGACCATCCCCCATAATTGCCATGAGAGGCTTGATGGCCACACCAGATTTGGGTAAACCAGCGACCACCTCCTAAGATCTACGTGGTGGACTGGTTGGCCACGGGATCTGAGATCAAACAAACAAAACAAAATTAGAAAAACAGAAAAACAAGAAAAGGACCACCAGAAGGGGTCCCAAAAGCCGACAGACCACAAAGGGGTTATCGGAGCAGGGAGTACGAAACCGGCTCCATCATGTTTGAGCAGCCGGAGAACCCGGCGACTCAAGCATCAAAAACTCGGAAGGCCCAAGGGCTTCCGAGCACCAAAAAAGCGAAACGCAGAGGAAAGGTGGTCAAAAGCGGGAGAAAATAGTGAGAGAGAGAGTAGATTTTAGACTTTAAACGGTTTCTCTTGGTGATTTGGCATCATTTTAAACCCAAAACCAGAAGAAGAAAACGAAAATTAGAGGTTGAACCAAAGACACGGTTATACAGGAACAAAATGCGGGACAAATCTAGCCCAACCCAACGGAAGAAATGGTCGGGGACAAGTTACGCTAGTGCCAAACCCAGCTCACCCCAAAGAAAAATTTCCGTGGAAATGGCATAGGCCCAACCCAGAGAAATGGTTAACTCGTTTCCCCTTTGTTTGTTTCGTTGCCCATTTTATTTTCTTCTTCGGCTTTTCTTTTCGGATTGATATTATTGTTAGACCTTTAATTGTTAGTATTACATTCTTTTTATTTTAATTAATTATTATATCTTTTAATTTAGGAAAAACTAAAAAATATAAAATTTTTAAAAAATATAATATAAGAATATAATAAATAATTATATTAAAAAAATATAATATTAATTATTTAATGTGTGACAATAACTTTATCATTTATCAAGTGTGAGATATAACTCTGAGTTGAAATTCATGTGATTTTGTTCACTTTAGGATTATGTTTTTCTTAACCATGAAGAGAACAATGCCCTGGAGCAATCACTATTCACTAGTTTACGTTTGACAATTTTTCATTTTAAATTAGAAAATAGCCAAACTTAAATTTGTAAAATACACCTTCAAATTCTTGGACGGGAGAAAGGATGTTCAAGTTTCAAATACATGTATTTAGGCCTTTGAATTACAAATATCAAAATGCCTGTATTGAAATGCACTCTTGTCATATAAAAACAAACACTTCATTTGAATTTAAACTTTAAGTTCAAACACACACCCTCTTCAAATTCACATTCCCAAGAATACACAATAACCAAGTGTTGTTGTTGCAACCAAAGGACTAAACTAACTACATGGTATATAAAGTTGCAAGAACTAGGTAATAAGATAGATTATTAAAAACCTTCACCAACGACTAAGAATGTCGAAGAATGCCAAATTTAGAAGGTAGTTAATGTTTGATATGAAATAAAGTGGCCTTTTAAGCCAATGAGGGTTGATGCAGAGAAGGGACACAATCAATAGAAAGAACACCACATATGTTGGGAAAAAACATGCACGAAAATCAAGAAGGTCAACTTCATACCATTTCCCTTTAGTTGCATCCGAAGGTGATGATTCTAAATGTGGTGTCTCATTATAAATGATGCAACATTTCTCCAATGGCAACCCAAAAAGAAACTGGTTTCCTTCATAACTGCTCTCCTCGAATGTTGAAAACTGTCCTTTCATGGGAATTTGACCGGATAAGTTGTTGTATGATACATTGAAGACCTCTAAAAAGTTTAGGTTGGTCAACTCTAAAGGGATATTTCCTTGCAGATTGTTGCAACAAAGGTCCAAGCTTTCAATGTTGGATAGTTTTGACAACGTAACTGGAATAGGACCCATCAATTGATTATGAGATAAATTTAAAGCATGAAGCTGTGTGAGCTTTCCAAGCTGTTGTGGGATTTCTCCAATCAGATCATTGCAGGACATGTCAAGAGCAGACATGAAATTTAGTATACTACCCTTGTAAGAGTTGCCTCTGTTTTTATCAACTAGATAAATTTCATTCAATCCGACAACCTCAACATATATGAGAAGCTCCAAATTTGTCTTTATGAGATCTCCATATATGTGATTTTCATCAATAAACTCATTGAAAATCAACAATTGAACTTGTACAAGAGTACCACCATAATTCTCCATGACCCCAAAGGTTAAATTTTGGAAACAAGAGGGTATTGTTCCAGAGAATGAGTTGCTAGAAAGATCCATTATGCTTATATTTTGCAATAAACACAATGTCTCTGGAATCAAACCCTTTAAATGATTTTTTCCCAACAAAAGAATTTTTAGATTTAGAAACATACCAATTAGGTTAGGAATGAAGCCAGACAAGTTGTTATCTCTGAGATTCAACACAGAAAGACTACTTGAGGAATTGGGAAGAAAATCTTGCAACAATCCCGTGAACTTGTTCCCTTCTAAATGAATCTCACTAATCTGGGTGAAATTAATGCAAGAAGGAAGATGACCAGAAAGAAAATTATGAGAAAGGTCCAAAAAAAGCAACCACGCAAACATAGGTTGTTGGCATGGAAATTGGCCCTTAAAAGAGTTATTCCTCATTGAAATTAAAGTAGTCACTTCATTAGCCCAGGTAGGAATTGGACCCCTGAAGTAGTTGTTGCTAACATCTAATATGTCCAATGTCTCAAGCTTCACATTCAATAGGCTTCCAATGAATTCATTGTTGTTCAATTCTAGTTGAAGCAAATTGCTCAAGTTGAATTTAGAAGAGAAAAATTGGCCATTAAATCTGTTGTAAGACAACCTTAGACGTTGCAACTTGCTACACCCCACAAGCAATTTATTAGGAACTTCTCCTGAGAAAAAATTGAAGGCCAAATCCAATTGGACCAAATCTCTCATATTACCAAAAGTACTTGGGAGAGCACCTTCAAACTGATTTCGAGACAAATTAAGATATTGTAAGCCAAGAAGTTTGTCCCCAAAATCCTCCAATAACTTTCCAGTAAAATGATTGTTTGAGAGATCCAGCCAAACCATATTTCTAATTTCATATGATGGCAAATAAAGTTGACCAACAAAAGAATTATTCCCAAGATTCATAAATTTGAGGTTCGAATTGTTTTGCAGCAGCCAAACAGGGAACTCTTCTTTCAACTTGTTGTGAGAAAGATCAATTACTCTCAATTTTTGTTGATAAAAGAGAAACTCGGGAATATTGTTTAGGCTCAAATCAGAGAGTATCAATACCTTGAATTGAAACAAAATATTAATCCAATTTGGACACTGAACATCAACTTGTAGTCTATCTTTGTAGCCTATGAGCATGAATACCTCAAGCTTGGAATAATTTCCAATATAGCTAAAGGAGAATAAGCCTTGGAAATTGTTGTGACGAAGATCAATGAATTCAAGGGATAATGGGAGGCTCTGTATCAAATCTAAGGAAAGGTTTTTGGTGAAAAAATTGTCTGAAATATCTAAAAGTTTAAGAGATGTTAGATTGTTTAGACATAGAGGAAGTGTCCCTTCAAAATTGTTTTTACTCAAATGCAACTCTTGAAGCCTCCTTAATTCACACAGACCTGCCATAAAGGACATAACTTATTCACTAAGAATCCATAATGAATTATGTGTTTCATTAGTTTACTAAATGAACTCTCAATTAATTTCCAATTGTTAGAATGAATGCAATTGGAATAGTCAGAAATTACCAATGAATTTCCAATTTTCATTTATTTTCCTAATCTCATTCAAATTACCAATGCCCTCAACCTAGAGCAAAAAATAGGTTATGATTGGCTTTGTTTAACTAACAAAAAGTATAACAATTAGGCATGAGGTCATCTTCTTCAAAATTTTTTTAAAGAGATGCCTAAAAACTCATATTTTAATTAATATTTTTAAAAACTAATCGTTAAATTTAAAATTTTATTTATATAAATTATGCATGTTAATTTTCATTATAAACCTTTTGATAAAAAAAAAAACCTCCATTTATTAAAATATTTTTAACAATATTAAATTTTATGTAACCAACAAAGTGAATAAGCCTACTAAAACAACCTAAAAATTTACATACATGATATATATGAATAAAACTTTGAATTCAATAGTTAATTTTTCAAAATATTAAATAAAAAAAAATTTTAAATATATTATTCAAAAAAAGTTAAACAAACAACTTGCAAAATTCTTTTCTCTCCTTAGGCCTTTCGGCTTTTGCCACCTTGGAATTCTTTCGACTTTCAAAGGCCCATGAAATATGTCTTGAGTAGTGAGTTCAGTTAAATTGGGCCAGACATGGGTTAGAATTTAGGACCTACACATATTGGATTTTAACAATTAACAATTCAATTTCGGCAGGCCTAAAGAATGTGTCCCTTCTTTATTTATTCTATTTTTAGGGTGCAATGTAAAGCATTTAGAACAAAGGTTAAGGTAACATCTCGTGTTGGACTTACTCTTGATCATGCCATTTCATGTGCAAGAAGGAAAAATAATAAATTAATCTCTTACGTACCGGGATTTGGTAATGAGCTGTTAAACTGATTAGAAGATAAAGACAATGCCTTTAGAGAACGAAGTGCCCCAGTAGATTGAGGAATGGCTCCGCTGAATTGATTCCAACGTAAATCTAATATCTTCAGTCTTGTAAAACCTATCAATAAATAATCAAGAATAGTACATAGTGTCAAGCGGGATTTTCATAGGAGCAAAGTAGTTAAAATTTTAAATATATTATCCAAAAAAAGAAAATTTAAAAGCAATGTACAAAATACATTTCTCATCAGGCATTTGGGCTTTTACTGCCCTGCTATTTTTTCAACTTTCAAAGGCCTATGAAATATGTCTTTGAGTAGTAAGTTTAGTTAAATTGGGCCAAACATGGGTTAGAAATTAAGACATACATACATTGGATTTTAACAATTAACAATTCCATTGTGGCAAACGTAAAGAATGTGCCCCTTATTTATTTGTTCTATTTTTAAGGCACAGCATAAAGCATTCAGAACAAAGGTTAAGGTAGCATCTTGTGTTGGACTTAGTCTTGATCATGCCATTTCATGTGCAAGAAAGAAAAAAATAAATTAATCTTTTACATACCGAGATTTGGTAATGAGCCGCTGAGTTGATTATCAGATAAAAACAATGCCTTTAGAGAATGAAGTGCTTCAATAGATAGAGGAATGGTCCCGCTAAATAAATTCGAGCTTAAATCTAATATCTTCAGTCTTGTAAAACCTATCAATAGATGAACAAGAATAGTACATAGTGTCAAGTAGGATTTTCAAAGGAGCAAAGTAGTTAAATTGAACTTTGGGATTGGAATGGAGTTGTTCATTATTTAATACCTTGAACTGGCAAGTTTCCACTGAGGAGATTATCACCCAAAATAAGCACCTCTACATTGTTCAAGTTGCCCAATTCTTGTACATTTTATGCATATGGTATATGGAATTAGTGATTAAAAAGGAAGAGACATCAGTTGTTAACTATAAAAATTAAACGGAGAAGGAATTGATAATGGAGCATTAATACG